AGTGCCTGATTAGAAGCACAACTAAACCAAGCATCATAAACAGAGCCACCATGCCAAAAGATGTTTGATAATTTGGTCTTGGCTGAGCCTGATTTTCCATCTGATTCATCTCTTTCCATTTCTATATAGTTTGCAACTACAGTCTCAACTTTCTCAGAAGCCATTTTAATTTTATGATGTTTTTGAGGATTTTTCAGAAGCAATGAAGGGGGTGTGTGCAACTTGTTAAGGAGTTTCTGATGATTATATAATAGATGAGAAAACAGTGTGTGTGTTTTTGTGTGTGCGTTTTTTATACTTTTATTTTGATTTATTTTATGTTTCTACTAAAAGTTGAGTGGTATGTGCATTTCTTTCTTTTCCATTTTATTTTTTAGTTTTATTTTTTAAGTATGCTTACTTCCTTGGAATTAGTATGCAATTGTTTTTCTTGAGTCACCCATAAAGGGATCTAATGTAGTAAAATTGAACTGAATTTAGAAGTTTTATTGAATGTTAGAAGTATCAACTTGAGTCATGAAAGATAAATTGTATTGATTTACGACTAAAATGATATGAAACTATTTGGGTAGGATGAATCGGTTGGTCGAACGGAGCTACAAGTTGAACACAGAGTCTTCAAGTCGATGATGACTCAACTCTATTAGAACACTAATGAAGAAGACTAATGGATAAGAAGAAATATATTTAGAATAAGAACCACATGTGCATAGAGTCACGTGGCCTAATAGAATTGGGCAATTCTGGCAGTACGAGCGCGTAGTTCAGACAGTCTTCACTCTACATTTCCTACACACTCTAAATACTTATAGAGCTTTATATCTATTGTTCATCGTCTTCATTACTGCAGGCTGACACGATCGTCGGAATGCTATCGTCGGAAACCCCTTCCGACCTACTTTACAGGTTTACGAACATGTCAAGAGGAGGCATATCATGTCGTGTGAACCCGGTACAAGTCATTTGCACACTGATATCTATCTGAAAGAGAAGTCAATTATCAATTTGAGATTTAAAAAATAAAATGCTCGGAAAAAATTAGAGCTATGAATATGAGAGTCTAAGGATAAAAACTCTTTTTTATATATTTTAGGCTAACACATTGGTCCAGTCTTGCATATACGTGTTTTTGGAATTTGCAACCTATAT